AAATACACAGATCCTTAAGCATTCAGATTCTGTTCAACCACTTTAGCTAATTGAAAATATGTGAAAAGGCCTGTGCTCAGTTTCAGCTTTTTCTTCACTCCCTCTTTCCTACAAATGACATGTCCAGTGACATTTATTATTATTATTTATATATTTTTTTTTAATTTTAAGCCTGGAGCCCATTGTTAAATATTTGGTCTCAGTTTTTCAGTTTACTTGAGAACAGAGAAGATCTCTGAGCTGAGACCCACCGAGGCTTCAAATTCTGGTCTTCCTGCGACCTGGGTTCTCACATGTTGCAGCTTTTTCTATTCAAGTGTCTGTTTAACACTTCAAAATCGTGCAGATGGATGATGAATGTTTGCTCACTGTGGTTATTTAACTGAAACTTTCTTTTTAAAAGAGAGGAAAAGCAGTTTTCTGTTAACTTTGGGTGCAGTGCTCTCTTTGTGTTGAAATGTGTCCCTTGCAGTGGATTGAGCCCCATTAGATGCAATATTGAAGTCCTAAACTGCAAAAGCTGTTAGAAAATGCATCTGAGCACCAGCAAGTAGCTCGAGTGAAAAACCTTTGCAGGGCCTTTACCCATTTAAGCAAAGGATAAAGATTTGCTGTAATTCTGGTCAGCCCACTTGCTGTCTTTAGCTCTGCCTGCATTTTGCAATTCTCTTGTACCAGGCGTCAGAAATACAGACTCTTTTGCGTGGCTTTGGTCTCACGAGTTTCAGTTTGGTCTTTGCAGTAAGGTTGTTGCATTTCCCCACGTCTGTGGCAAAAAAAAAAAACCCAGAAAGAAGCACGTGAGGAGAGCTTGCCTAAGTATCAAAAATGGTGAGTGTTTTATTGAAAATAGCAAGAAGTAAGTCAAAAGGGTGTAGTATTTTCCCACAAGCTTTCATTTGAATTCACATTGCTTTTTAATGCCTTTGGAGTGTTGCCTTGGAGGCTGCTTCATCTCCTATGTAGAGTTACATTTTTGAAGCCTTTTTTATATGTCAAAACGTACTTTTCCACACTAAATTAAAGAACAGAGGCCCAATTTCAGGCCTGATGAAACTGMAGGCAGGCTTCCTGACACCGATTGCATCCTCAATAATAAGGAAGCTTCAGCCCTCGGAGTCCGTATCAGGTAACGCGATCTAATACTAGCCCTTTACTAATGGCTGAGCCCCTTCACTTAGTGTGCGGGGGGCTGCCGTGGAGAGAGATTCTTCCCCCCTCAGCCCGTATTTCCCTGAGGACCAAAGGTCTTCTGGAGGTTGTGGTTTAATCGTGGAAGAGATGAACGGAACGGACATCGGATGGCCGGCCTGGAGCAGCCCAAGCGTTGGGATCAAGGCACGTTTTGTCTCTGGGCAGGGGGGTGTAGGGAAAGGGATGGTCACTCGTTGCTCAAAGCTGCCCTGTCTCAGGAGCTGCCGTTTCCTTTTTCCAGGGCAGTCAGCTCCTGTCGGGTGTCAGGTCTGTATGTCGGGCCCGTGGGTGTCATAGCAAACCCTGTGTGCTGGATAAGGAGAGYACCCTTCTTTCAGCATCCAAAGGCAGAGCTCTGTTAGGATCTGTGTTCCTGGAATTACAGCTGCCTATTAATAGATTTCTTGCTTGTTCCCTTGGAGAGAGATTAAATTGTTGCTGTCAGTCATTTTCTTAACCATGTTCATTTTTGCAAAATAAATTGTGAGCTCTTTGTGAGCAGCAAGAGCAAGAAGCTGAACCTCGGTGCTCGTTTTCGGGACCTGARCCAACTGTATCAACCTCAGCCTCTCCGCCAAGGGCTGCAGAAAASGCCCGTTTTCCCGCCCGTTTGGCCGGGGCACTAAATTAGTGGGAGTTGTGACTTGTGTCTCCGTAAAAAGGAGATTTCTGAGCCCAACCAGGGCACTGAGCTGGCTTCTTTTTTACTTATTGTGAAAGAAACATGTTACTGCTACCTGAGAAGTRAAGTTTTCTGGGCCTGTTTGTTTTTTTCCAATATATTTATATTAAAGTAACTTCAGCGTTGTGTTTTTAATGAGTTTAAATTACTGTTTGTTATTGTTAAATACTGTACAGTGTAGAATTTGAGTGCTTTAAAGTTAGAGTAAAAGCGTGTGGTTGGTATAAAGTGATAGACCTGTTTGAATTCTGTACTGGGTAGAATAGTGTCTTTCGTTTTTTCATTTCAGCTATTTGTAACTGCAATTTGTTTCCAATTCCTCTTTTAAAACCCTTCCAACTGATCTCACTTTCCCTTTGTCTTCGTGCATCTTAAAAGGAATAGAAGTTTATTGATTTGGTAAAGACTGTCCAGCGGGCAGTTAATTCCTCTCACGTGGAACGTGCATCGCTGCACAAGCTCCTGGAGCAAACTCTGCTCAGTTAAACTCTGTGCAGTCCCTCTGCACTGAAGTTTCATATGGTTCAGTTTCAAAAGTACCAGTTTAAAATCCCCCAGGTTGTTCTTTATCTTGTTCTTTCTTTGTTTTTRTGGGGTTGTTCTCTGTCTTTGTTCAAGTCTTGCAACACGGGCGGTTTATTGGACATCCCCTTTTCTTTCCTGGCRTTGCTTTGGATAAAGGCCCTGCAGCATTTGATGCTCCTCCGATGTCCCCCTCTGTCCCACCTTGGGGCCAGAGAAAAGATCTTCCCCTMTTGGGACAGACTTTCGGCCCATCCCCAAATCCAGCGTAACCTGCGCTAACCCTGCCTGGGTCTTTGCTCACTGCCTTCCCTCGCTGGCAGAGTTTTCAGCTTTTCTGCCAAGGACATTGCTGTTTTGGAGAGTTTTTGCACAGGTTTCTGCAGTAGAGCAGCTACCAGTGAAGGCAGCCCTTGTCTCCTAACAGAATTACCCACTGGACAAAGAAAGAAGGTGCCTGAAAGCACCCGAGCTCCGTCCGGACATGTTGTTACGCTCGGGTATTCCTGGCATCACTGCACATTTTCTGGAAAAACATTTAAAACTTTCCACCGTTAACTGATATCATTAATGAAACTGCCCTTAGAGGGGAGCACCTAGAGACTGCTTGGAGCCCTCCTGCTCCTGTTAGGCTTTCCCCTGCTGAACCCTCCTTTCGCTTTCTCCTCCTCATTTGGTAACTTGTCCCTGTGCTGTTCAGCAGAGCACAGGTTTTCTGGAGAAGTTGGGTTTAAGATGTCTTAGGTTCTGGAGGGTCATGTGGTTTTGCTTTGGACCCTGATAAGCTCTAACCCTGAAGGCTCTGCGCTCTTGCAGTATTGGAAAATATATTGGAAAATGAAGTTAAATAATGCAGATACAGTCTTTGTAGTCTTGCTAACACTGCAGCAAATACRGTGTGGGTAGAATTAGTAACCAAAGGGGATGCTGATTGAAAGGGGGTTGTGGAGAACAACCCTGTCCTGAGTCACGTCTAAAGTAGTCCTAGCCCTGCAACYGCCCTGTCTCGGGAAATACCTTGCAGGGCCAGGCCAGTGGCATTGCAAGAGATTTTTTTTCAAATTTTTCTTTTTTCCCCCTTCTCCCCCCCACCCCCCGCAAGGCCCTGCGGGAAGCTCCGGCTGTGTTGCCGCACGAGCCGCTCCAGCGTCCTGCTTCCCAAGRAACAGGAGGGACCTGGTGGTTTTCCAGGAGGCGTTCGTCAAATACTWTCTTAATGTGTTTGGCTTTATTAAGGCGCTGCAGTTGAAATGCAGATTTTGAACTTGTTTTCATTGGGAGCGCACCATTTCCAGTGCCTTGTTTCTTCAGACATCCCTATCTCCAGTAATGGTGAGAATTGACCCGCTCACGATTGCTGAGATAAAATAAACTGATCTAACTTAGGGGGGGAGAGAGAGAGAGAGAGATTTTATTGACATTGACACGGCACCCGGCGCGGGCTGGCGGGGCCTCCCCGTGGCTGCATCAGCCCCTCGATCTGGAGGCCGCGCGTGATTCCCRCGAGCCGGAAACCAGGGCGGCTTCAGCCGGAGCCCGTGGCGCAGAGCTCCCGGGAGGCTCCCCGTGTCCCCGTCRGGTGGGATTATTGCTTCAGAACAAAAAAAGAAGAGCCAAAGGGCACAATGACTTTTTCTCTTGTAACTTCACCAGTTCCAAGCCCTTCTCTGAATAGGTCGTGGCCATTTCCAATTATAAGAGTTTTGTTTCTTCTTAATTGCTCCAAACACCATAGCTGGAGTTTTACTTCATCTTGGGACTGAGCGCTTGTGTCTGAATCTTGCTTTTCATTCCTGTGTGTTCCTGTGTTTCCTGATTGGAAAGCAAGGAATTAAGCGTCGTGATTAAACCAGCGTCACCTTTTCCAAGCCGCCTTCCTTGGGCTGTTGTGAGCACACGGGCTGGCCCGGGTCAGACCCTGCACCTTCAGCCCCCGTCCTGCCAAGAACTGCACAGCAAGGGCAAATCACCTTGGAAAGGTCCCTAGACACCAGTGTTTGGGAGTGTTTTTTTACTGAAGTGTAGTTTATTGGAAGTATTTATTTATTTATTTAAATCTACTATAATCAATTTGAAATATATTTCAACCTCCACCTCCCTCCCACCCTCTCTCTCTCTCTCTCTCTCTCTCTCTGCCCCCCTCTCCTTCTCTCCCTCTCTCAAAAAAGGCAACAATTAGAAAAAACATAAGTGACATTGGAGAAATTGTTAGGAAAAAGAAAAGGCAAAAGCAGGAGAGCTTGTTTGGGGCAGAAGTATTCGAAGGGTTGAWGGAAAGAAATACAGTTTTGCGCTGTTGCTGTGTATTTTTCTGCAATCAGATGTGTGGCTGTTAGATGTGCAGTAATTCTATAATGCCATAAACAAAAACAAAACAGATTTTGTGACTTAGGCACTGTTAATATGTATCTAATATTTCGCATGTGTTCAAAGGAAGAGAACATTATAACCAAATTTGTTATGAAGTTGCTCTTTTTTTTCTGTATATCTTATTTTCCCCTTCCTCTTCCTTGCTTATTACAGAAGAGAGTTTGACAAAAATTTGGAGTACGAGTTACATGAAGTAATTTATTGATGAATGTGTTTTAATATTATGTTTCAGAAAGACTCCATGAAAAATGACAGAAGAAGTTATTGTTATTGCAAAGTGGGATTACACTGCACAGCAGGACCAAGAACTTGACATCAAGAAAAATGAACGTCTTTGGCTATTAGATGATTCCAAGACATGGTGGAGGGTAAGAAACGCGGCCAACAAAACGGGATATGTGCCATCAAATTATGTGGAGCGAAAAAACAGCTTGAAGAAAGGTTCTCTGGTTAAAAATCTAAAAGACACATTGGGTAAGTCCTTTAGTACTTTGGAAGGAGTTTAGTAGAATTGATGAATTTCAGATTTGGAATGTTGCATATATATATATATATAATATCAATGTATTGTGGGTTTGTGGGTATGGTTTTGAAGAAATGTTTGTATGAACTTTGTAATCCTTAGTTTGAAGCATCATGTTGGACGAGGGAGGGCTGGAGGTGGGAGGGTCACGGGGTCTGTGACTGTTTTTCTTGTGTATCATGTAGGAGAAACGGATCTGATTTTGTCCCAGTTTGCCAGTGCTTGTGAATTTGCAGTGGCTGGAGGAGAATTTTTTGCTGTCATTGAGACACGAACTGCTGAATCCTCTCCTCCCCTGCCAAGTCCCCTCACGCCAGAACAGAAGGATGTGAACGGAAATGTTGGTGCACGGATAACATAGCAAAGCTTTGATCACGTTGTGCTGGTGATGAGTGGTGTGGCCACGTGCRGTGTCAGAGGTTTCTGTGTTCCAAGGTGATCCCTGAATGTACAACTGCGGTATTTAAAGTAATAACCACTTCTCTTGGAATATATTCATTAAAATGCGATGATGTCTTCGCAGAGTTTCGTGTGACGAAAAGAGCTCTGATCCCAAAGAACTAGTTCAAACCAAAAATTCCACTTGTGATTTTAACCTCCCATTACATGGATTTTAACTTGTTTAAAACACATACCATTTTCCTGAAATCTCCTGTGAGCTCCCTGCACCTTAGCAGTGCTGTTGCAGCAAGTGCTCTTGTAAAATACGCAAGCGTACTTGGGGTAAAGCTGCCTCTGCGGGTAATAGATAAAMTGCATTTATTTAAGGCGAGGAGGCAGGCGTGTCCTGGCGCAGCACTGACGTGGGCCCGGATGGCCACGGAGCTCGTTGCTGCTGCAGGGGCCTCCCGTGGCCGCGGTGACACGGGAGGTGCTGGGAAGGATCCGCGCGGGCCTCGGGGCTCAGCCTGAACCCGTGTCCCATCTTGCAGACCTCGGCCATCTGCGTGCAGCTTTTTGCAYGCTCACAGGTTTTTAAACCTCTCAAGGGCCTTTATAATCATCTCCTGTCTTTTCCCTTTTCGACTGGGTATTGCTTCTGGCTTAGGGATGTGTTACTTAGGTCGAGCACAAAATGCCGGTGTGTCAGAGACCAGGTTTTCCCTTTGCAGTGACTCTGGACCTGCTAAGGATGCAGAGTTCCAAGTAGCTCACGGGCTCCTTTATGCTCTTACATCCTGTGACAGTAAGAAACAGCCTAAGTGTTACCCAGCCYGCTCTTGAGCTCGAGCTAAACTTAAAAAAAAAGATCTGAAGCTTAAGAGTACCCTTTCTGTATGGTTTTTAACAGCGTGTTGAACTGCTTGGCGTGATGGAACTAATCAGTTTGTGCTGAGCTCGGCAGATGTGTCCAGCTTTGGTTTTGCCTCTCCTGAACCCTTGTTGAAATACAGGCACTGAGGCTGTTGCTGCTCCCTGATTTCCTGTTTGGAATAAGGCGAGCGACTATCCTTCCTTAGAGGGGCCTTTTTTCCAGCCAGTACCAAGAGGTCTTTTCTTAAATGAAGGCTCGGAAATAGCAGGATTGATACTTGACCTAGTGAAACTGGGCTTGAAAGTTTTGCTGTGCCCGAGGAAACAAGCTSTTAAGTTCTCTTTGTAGAAATCTAAAACGTGCCTCGTGTCTTGTCCTTAAACCAAACCCGCCTCCAGCCTTGAGGCTGAAACTGTGACCAAAATATCAGGTACTGACCTTGAAAGGAAAGAAAAAAATAAAGATAGGAATCAGTAAAGCTTGTGGAAACCCAGGGCAGGAGTAGCTCATGGTGTTATCTCTGTGTCACCGAAGGCRGCTGAGACACGAGGGGGGCCCTGGGGCCCCCCGATCCGTCTCTGGTACTTGCAGCCCTCCGCAGGCACGCGCTTTCCCCCTTCCTGACAACCTGCGTCTCCTTGGATTCGAGCGTGTTTCACAGGAGGGCGCTGCCGTCCCGCCGGGGCTGCYGTGCGGCCTGCGTGAGCGGCCGCCCCTGTGTCCCCCCGAGCCACGCGCAGCGACCGCTGCCCCCTAAATCCACGGAGCGCCAGGCGTGGAGCGCACCGGGACAGACCCCACCTGAACTACTGCTGTTTAATTCATAGTCTCTGCAGTTAACTGTTGAAGTGGCATCAGCTACTAACCAGTCTTCCATCCGTGTGCCCTACTGAAAGTTTATGGCAGCAGTTAACAGGCGGGTGTATATGGAGCCAAATGCACGACTGAAGCCCGTTACGTTCAGGCACTTCTCTCTGTCAGGAAAACTCTCAGTCTCATCGCAGAATAAAATCAGGCTTGTTCACAGGCAAAACTACTTTTCCTAGAACGATATGGAGCGTCATTAATAGAATGATATTAATAAAGTGCTAAAAGCCTGAGATGCGGTCGGCGTTGCGCTCGTTTGCCCTGGGCTTCGGGGAGGGTTCGTGGGCGCCCCTGTACCCGCAACAGGCAGCGCGCTGCTTCCGAACGTCAGCCCCTTTCAGCACCCTCCTGTACTTCCCACTGSATTCAGGACTTCTTAAGAAAGAACATCAGCAAAAAGAAAATAAAAGACGTTTGGAGCCCTCTTTTCTATGTACTGGATGCGAATTAAAAGGCTGCTTGCCACTTGCTTAACATATGCTATTAAAATCGGTTTTCAGTTGGACTATTTCTTCCTTAGTCCTGCTGGCAGGGATCTTTCCCAAAGGTTTAGCTTTTCCTAAGTGATTCTTGGAGGTTTCCAGCCTTGTAATCTTTACAGTGCTTGTTGTCTGTTTTCACCAGTTTTCCATTTGGTGCATGAGACTCCAACAGTCTTAAGTCTCTTTGGGGAACATAGCAATGTGACCATACTAAACTGTCCGTTTTTAATTATGGAAATCTGAAGTTTAGGCCACCTATTAAGTTTTGTAGATGATTTAAATTTTCATTCTCTTCTTTTGTCTTAATGGCATAACGCTGAGATTAAAAAGTTAATGGCAATTTCACCGTTTCAAATTGCTGTCTTCTGTTTGCTCATATTGAATGAAATCTGGTAATTATTACTCTTCTTTAGGCAAAAGCCAGCTTCCAGGCCTGTGATTAAAATTTCATCTTGACTCATTATAATGAAGTTTAAAATAGTTTCCTTGTAGCGGGTTTCTTTTGTGGGGAGGGCACATTTTTGAATCCGTCTCAATTAAGCTCTCCTAAACACGAGGCCTCTAAGCTGTGATCTTCTCTAGCAGTTTCCCCACGCCCTGGCAGGAGCTTCTCGAGAGGGTCCAGAGAAGGGCAACCAGGATGATTAAGGGAATGGAACATCTCTCGTACGAGGAGAGGCTGAGTGAGCTGGGCCTGTTTTCTCTGGAGAAGAGACGGCTCAGAGGGGATCTGATTAATATGTATAAGTTCAGGAAGGGAGAATGCAGGGAGGAAGGGGACAGGCTGTTCTCACTGGTGGCCAGCGATAGTACGAGGGGTAATGGCCACAAGCTGGAGCACAAGAAGTTCCGTCTCCAGGTGAGGAGCAACTTCTTTACTGTTAGGGTGACAGAGCAGTGGAACAGGCTGCCCAGGGAGGTTGTGGAGTCTCCTWCTCTGGAGGTCTTCAAAACCCGCCTGGATGCCRCCCTGTGCCACATGCTSTAGGTGTGCCTGCTTGAGCAGGAAGGTTGGACTAGATGATCTSTAGAGGTCCCTTCCAACCTTRAATATTCTGTGAATCTGTGAGAGGCAGCCCTGGTTTGGGCCCTGCCACTCGGGTGGGTGCTCGGCAGGGCCACCCGGCGCCGTCCCGGGCGTCACTCACTCGCTGGCCCTGCTCTGTGGCAAGGCAGCTCTGCACCTGCTGGTGCAGCCCCCTTGTGCTGGATAGAAACCCCATCTGCAGAGAGCCAAGATGAATAAAAAATGTATTTTTCTATCGGCAAARATCTTAATTTCCTTCATCCCTTTGCAAATGGTTATCCTGGGAGCGGGCAGTGTCTYGTACTGGGCTGTGGAGGCCCAGCGGGAAGGCCTGGGCCTCTGCTTCCCATGGATCCGTGACGAGCAGCACGTAGCTCCCTTCCGCCTCAGACTCGGTAGGGATTTGCTGGAAATGGGACTCCCTTTTATTAACACACGTCCACCAAAAGAAGGGCTGCTTGATAAAAAGTAATGTGTAAAAGACTGGGCACGCAGACTCTTCAGCCTACTTTTTTATCAAGATTATGACAAAGTCAGTAAAACGTTTCAGTAACTTAAGGTGAATTCACTCAGTGTGCCAGATCTTCCTGTGGAGGTAGGAACTGACAAATGAGGTACRAAACAAAATAAAACCTGCATCACTGTGTGTGATTTGCTGGGAATCTTGTGGACGTGGGATTATTTCCCARTGTGCGAGTGCCTGAATTGCTCCCTTACGTCAGCGTGTGCATCTGTGATCCCTTCCCTGAGTGCTGTAGCATTAGCAGGTTCTATACCTTCCTCCCCCACAGTTCTGTATGTATGTGTATACACACACTGTTTTGTGTTTGTATGAAATATAACAGTTTCACCTACTCCTATGAGAAGGTTTTCTCACACTCGTACTGCTCATTTTCCCACTTGAGAACATTTATTTCTGTCTGAAACGTCTTTGGCCTCTTAGGAAACAGCCCTAGGAAGGAAGGGAGCCGCGGGCTCCCGCGCGGCTGCAGCGCCCGCCTTCCCTCCCCACGCGCTCGCTCCCGGCCTCTCCTTTCCAGTTCATCTCTTTAATCGCCAGTACTTCTGGAATAAGTCACTTCTTGTTTTTCTCAATGCACCAGAGTTTTCTTCGCACTGGAAAATACTCTCGACTTCCTTTCTAGATGCCTTATTTTGAGTTTAAATATTTGCATTGCAGTCGTAGTTCAGCATAACATGGTTCTGAAATTTTGTTCTGCAAATGTCATCGACCTTTAATTTCTGATGTGTGGGGTTCTTGTTTTTGGGTTTTTTTCTTTGTCGCAGCGGTCAAACTTTGGCAGGTCTGGCATGGGGTGT